AATACTATGTCAATTCAAAAAAAATTCATTTATATAATTTTATATAATAATTCATTTAATATCTAATATTTGACATCAACTAAGGGTTAACTTAAAAACGTTAAAAAATTTTTTTAGAGTACAATAAGGCATACAAATATATTATATAAAATAAATATACGAAATCATTTAAAGCCTTTATCAACAGTTGGTTAATTCTTCATTTTCTTTAATACTAATTTCTAGTAAATAAATAAATCTTAAAGGATATATCCTATTCGGCTAGTAGCTAGTGTCCCATTTTTTCCGTTTTTTTTTTTTTATAACTAAAAGCCATTATATAACATCAGCGCACAATCGCTGGGAATGTAATCCTATAACCTTATACCCATTACAAACGCTGTGAGCAGCTCGTTGCTGTTGATGTTAATGCTGTGCTGTGTGTTGTTGTTGTTGTTGTTGCTGTTGTTTTTGATGTTGCTGTTGTGTTTTAATTTCTTGTAGCATTTCTATTAAAGAGTCCAAAGGCCCAAGGAGCTTGCCACAACATGCAGTTCAATAATAGCGACACAGTCGCAGCTGCCAGTCGGTCAGGCGACAAAAGAAACGCGCCGCAAAGTGCGCGTTTTCTGTTACGTCCCGCCCGACCCACCTCGCCCCACTGACTGTTGCCCTTTTTGCTACCCCGCTTTCTTACACTGCTTGCCATCCATACCCATATCCATGACCATGTCGTTGTCCGTTGTCCGTTCTCCATTCTTCGTTGTTCAACAAGTCAACGCTTTAAATGCTGCACGCTGTTCCGGTCAAATGCTTCAATGCCAAAGGGCATAACCATAACAACGCCGCCAACATTCAGCGGCTCAGTTGTTTGGATCGCACCCCCGCTCAACCATCCCCCCACCCTACACAAAAAGAGCAAAGCGTTTACTCTCGCCGCATTTAGAAATCAACTACAATGCAATGCATTGCGTATATCCTGGCTCTGGTCCTACACGTGTTTCATAATAACTCAGCTAAACAATTGTTAACAGATTGAAAATTAAGCGCTCAGAATTAGCTGATTTCAATAATTGTCGATTAAATTGTTAATAATAGACATTTTATTATTTATTTATTTTTTTAATTTGCACGAAAGTTTCATTAAATATCAGTAAAAATAACGGAAAAGATTCATAAATTTAAAATTTCGTTTGAATATAAATAAATATGTTGAACAAATCGATGTAATTCGCTGGATCTAACACATAAAACTCTATAATTAAATATATAGACTCTCAATATCATATATCGATAAGCAATCGATCAAATTGATGGTCGATCAACTCACATTAATATGCTAAATAAATCGATTTAATGAATGACTACATAATCGATAAATGCAAAAAAAATATATAAGCTGTTATCGTATAAAACAATAGCATCCAAGACGAAGTCGATTGATCAGAAAACTTGCATAACATTCATATATATATAATTATCGATTAATATATATGAATCATGGTGATATAAGAATCATATATTTTATCGATTAAACAACAACAATTACCGAGTCATAGTATAACCAAGCCGGATGGCAAATGCTGATAATGTCACGTGCATTAATAGTTGATATCGATTTTAGATAAGCAAAACAGCAAATATGACGATTGAGGGGAAACCAATTCTAATAAGTTGAGATTGAGCACATAAAATTGACAGACATAAACAACATCAAACATAAATACTACGTGATGTCAAACCAGTTAACCAATTACTGTCAGCTCAATAGTAAATCTACAAAAATATAACGAGTAAATGTGAATGTATTGGCATAGGCATTTGATATGTCGCAGTTGAAATCGATAATTCGATATGCAGCTATGCAATATTATAATTATTTATAGTACAGCAATGTTATAACTATTTATAAAGTGGAAATAGACAATGGTCGAATTAAATGTAAATAACTCTAAACTAAGTTAATGTTATTGATAGAGTTTTAGACAATGCTAACAATGTAGACAATAGTTAATCCTAAATATATAAAAACTAGAAAA